AGCAATCCCCAGCACATGCAGGCCTATCCCTCTGTTCTCTGACTCTTCGACTGTGCCCCCAGCCTCCAGCTCCATCTCTGCCTCCACTGTCCTGCCTCCTGAAATATGGTTTTTAATAAAGAGCGCGGTAAATGGCTGCTCTAGCGGCAATACAAATGAAAGATCTTCGGCTGAGGACTGTCCTGAAGAAACAGGAATGCAGTGAGACAGTGCTCTTGCATAGCAGCTTGTCCACACAGTTAGGATCAAACTCTTTAAAAGGAAGGTAGGGAGCAAGAGGGGGGATAAAGGGAAGAGCCTAACACTCACAGTTCAAACCGCAAGAACATTTGTGACATTTACATTATTCCAAGGAGAATTTGATTGGAAGGAGTAGCATGCTACATAGTGTCCTGGTGGGGAAGGGCACAAAGCTTATTTGCATTCAGAACAGTGACCCCTTCTACCGCCATCTGCATAAAGATGGAGGAGACCGGAGTGGGGAAGAGGCAGAGAGGATTTCAGGGAGGAGAGAGCAGATGCAGAGAGAAAAGAGATTTGTGTATTATTATTTTGTTGGTCCAAACAGAAACGTAGACCACATACTCCATTATATTCCTAGTTCTGAAGCATGATTTATGGAAGAATGGGAAGATGATACTAAATGACCTTTGAAGATTAAATGGATCAAAATCAAGGCCAGATTGGGCACCAAAACATTTGGATCCAGTATGATTTTGTGCTGCCAATTCACTTCGACCCACCTACATCCGGCATAAGTAGCAATACAACTGCTTGCTGCCAAAAACAGACATCCTGCCTTTAAACATTTTTACCATCACTTTCTATGGCCAAGTTAGGAAGACAACGGCTCTTAGCATTGCTTCTTAGCACTGAAAGCAAAGTACAACGGACTGATTGGGATATCTTTGCAAAGAAAAGTCAATATGCTGTTAACGCTATATATAAACTCAAGTGGTTAATCCTCTTGGGACCATGAGTGTCAATACACATTTGGATTGCAATCCATCCAACAGTTAGGAGATTTGTGTCTTGACATTGCTATCCCTAGAGAAACATTGATGCTGGGCTGAGGGCAACTTGCTAACATAAAGACAGGTAGGAGACTTTGTGGCATATTTTCAGGACGAGTTCTGTGCGGATACTTCAAGAATCAAGATATTTAAGGAAATTACCAGTTGCATGTCCAGCAAGTGGTTTAAAGTATTAATATTGAAGATTTTTCATATAAATTCAGTACTAGCTGTTAAGTCACTATTTATCACCAAATGACGTAACACAAAAGTGATTGATAATTGTATTGATATATTCATATTTTTGCACCATACCAACTTGGAGTCTATGATGATATTCCGAAAAAAACAAGTTTATGCAAGCTGAACAATTCCTACTGCTGAAGCTTCACATTCAAATAAATGTATTGGCAAAACACAAGTTCACTTTTCTTATGTAGTAGTATCAGAAAAGCGATGACAACTAGATGTTACCTCAAAATTCCAATACAACATAGGGGCTTTAAAGCTGGTACTTCTGACTATTTGTAAACTATTTTGGCGCCTGTGACGTTCAATATGTGGTGTGTTTGAATTTCAGGGGCACTTAAGTCTCCTTCAGTCTCCATTTCTCTCTCACACACAGGGCAAAACATATCCTTGGGGACAGCATCAGCCTTGTGTAAGCAGTGACCCCTGACAATAAGTGACAGATTCTGACAAGCAGACAGGGCTACATGTTAAATCAGTCTCACTCATTTGCACACCTTGTCCCCTGGGAATAGCACAGGAGACTTTACACCAGCCTCTCGGTGAGTATGTGACATATTGTACAACATACACACTGTGATCGCAGGGCACTAAATATACCCATGTTTTAACACTTTCCACCGTTGAGAGTAGTTAAAATAACTTTATATAAAGTCCTTTTTCCTAGTTTATTTGTCTCTGCTCTGGTCTCCCTTTATGCTGCTGTAATACTTGATATTCTCTACTAGAAATGTATCTGATTCCATCTTTTTGTTGGTCCATAGAGTATTCATCAACAAAATAAAAATCTGCAACATTTACTCAATCTAAGTAGGTTACAGCTTTAGCGTAAGAATACAACAATGCTGGGCATCACTGGACTAACCATAGAGTTAGACTTCCTACGAGCAGTAATGCATGAACATGTGTTCTCTTGCGTTCTCTCACGCAACTCTCAGGTGAGCCCATTAATGATAGATATTTTTACATTTTATCCTGAGCCGTTGCTGCTGTGATACATACGCTTTGCAGCAAGACATACACTTTGATCCTGTGTTCTTTAACCTGCCAATCTGCTTTCTGAACCACACTTCACTGGATCATTAATACAAGAAGAACACCGAGGTAGCCCATGAAGAGGTGGAGGTTTTGCATTACAGGGATTTTGGCTAATTTTGCCCCAGGAGGTAGAACAAACAAGGTTTTCTTTAGCATCATATTGTAATTGATATATTTTCTCCTGAACTAGCTGCTACAACAATACTTAAAGCTTGACCACAGAATCCACAGTGCAGCTTCCAAGCAATACAAACCTAAAGGGAGGGTAATAAAGCCTCTTCCAAAATGGTCTTTTACAGTATTATTAAAGTGAATGTTAGTCTTTCTGTACAGTAATGATTAAAATATGGTGGTTATTCCAGCTTACTTGTTGTTCTTTACTCAATGCCTTTTTAATATACTCTCAAACTGACACCAATGGCTGGCAAGGTGAAGGTCACATGACCGACAATGGATGCCAAGCTAGTATGGAGTTAATGAGCTAACCTGCTAGCATGTTTACTGCATATAGGCTGCTTTTGGCTGTACGCTTGTTGGTTTGATATGTTTTTTCTTTTTTTTTTCTCATGTCACAAATGGTGTATGGATTGAAAAAAACATTTGAGGGAAAATTCTGTTAAAAAATGTTGATATGAAACTAGGCAACATTCAAATTACAGTACTAACCTTCTAAAAAGTATTAGTGTGAACTTTATGTTAGCTTTTGTAATGCTAAGTATTTACCCTAGTCTAGGGGCTTTCTAGATAACACTGACTTAAATTAAATTAGATAATATAATTAAATATGGACTCACTTGAGAACAAAACAACTTAGCGAGCCACCGCAGCTAGTATTTTAGATGTTATGTTCATACATGATTTAAGCAAGTTAATGTCAATCAAGCTAAAACCTAGCATGTCACAGTGTGGCTAATTGTCCCAAAAAGCAGCTAGTTTTTAAAATATATTCATAAAATGCTAAGATTAATTAAATATGAGAAAATAAATGTAAAGTGTATCTAATTGCACAGAAGAGTATTAGCACAAGAAAGATTATAAATGTTACCATGCCGTAATTATATACATCTAGGAAACTATTAGATCAATAGTAATGGAGAAACCAATACTAATTAAGACTGACATTATTACAGAACAGGACATTATCAGATCTGGTAATATCCTGAGCTCTCCTTTCACTGGATATAATCCTGGTTAACTGATCAGAATGGCACTATTCCTGTGAGTCCTGGAACGCTGACAGAAATATGAAATTAGAATACAGTTAGAGAAGTACAAGGTGTTCTTACACTCAAACCAATGGTTTCAGGCCTACTCTCTTCTTGTTCTGCCCCATTCAAATGCACAGTTTGTAACTCCAAGACTGACTTTACAGTATATCCTTCTATAACTAGCATGGGAGTTTAGTCGAACTTACCATCTTCCATGTTCTAAAAATAGTTTTAGCAAAATTACAAAAATTCCCAAAACTCTGTAGCCTATTCTTCGTTTTTCCTGTGATTCCAAGACTTAATAACACCAAAAATGATGTCGTTTTGTTTTTTCTCTTCAAGCTAAACAATATCCGTCTTTTGGAAAAACCCAGAGCAACTCTCAATCAATCACTGGTGAAAAAAAATCTCTAATTGTATGGCCTTAAGCCTGCGTCACACTGTCCCGAAATTGACACCAGATGGACACACGATAAAGGAAATGTTCAAATTTGGCTCTGATCGTGACAACATCGGGCCATTCGTGAGGGCATCTTAAGCCATCGTATGACCGCCGGTGGAGTTTCTCAGGCTCCGGCAGCAACTTCGTGAGCGGTGGCAAAATCTTTGGCATGCCAAAAAATTGCCGAAAGACCGTGCAATGGTTCATTTTCGTGTTAAATGTGTGTGTCCATTTTGCCCTTCGTAAGGCCATCGTGAGGGCATCTTGTCAAATCGTGTCATCTTCGTGTGATCATCGGTGCCATCGGGCATTTTTCGCCTCACGAAGACAATACAAAGGAAACAAGAAGCTGTCCGATTGTCTTAGGAAGGCAACACGACTACGTGAAGCCCTCGCAATGCCGTCGTGTAGCCATCGTATTATAGTACAATTTGTGTTCTGTGAAACTGAACAGGATATTACATTGTTTTTGTTACTTTCGTTGCAGTTGTATGTCTTAAATGTAATTTAGGTTAACTTCCTGTTTTATTTAGATGATTTTATTTTGAAGGCAAGTTTACGCTGTTGACAGGAAGTTGTTGTTGCTATGGAAACAACATGACGGAGTGTGTGGTTCGGGTGCCATCATGTGGCCTTCTGTAGGCATCGTACTTGCTTCGGCTGTTGCTTGGCTGTTGACCAAGTTCGGGGACATCTTCGTGTGAAATTCACAATTCCATAATCGTGTGTCCATCTGGTGTCAATTTCGGGACAGTAAAATCAAACTTAAAGAAAAGCCTGATACCTTCTATCAAATATAGGGGAAATTCTTTTTTTGAAATAAAAATAAAGGCAACCTTGTCCATTTAAAATTTTTAAAATGTGTTAATGTTTTAATTTATATGTTTTAAGTTATTATATACACTACTATATTATACTACAAAAATGTGTATTTCTCAACCTTTTTATTTATGTTTTTTTTTCTTTTTTGAGGGAGTATACATTTATGAAATCTCTCCTGCTGGGAAAAATAAATGCCAATACAAATATTTGTCAAAAAAAACAACTCACCATCTTCAGTGGGTACATAGATGTTGAGGTAAAGGCAATCCTCACTCTGGTTCTGAACGTAGGTCGCTGCAGCATCCAGGTTGTCTGTGAACCACACTGGTAGCATGATCTCAGGTAAAACCCCGTGGACATTCTGGGGACAGACTGGTGCAAATTGGGTGGCATTGCGAATCTCTTGCCATGAGCCTGGAGCTTCAGGAGGCTGAAAGCGGCGCTCACCGACGGGTGCGGTGGCGTATGGCACACCTAAGAACTGTTCCACAGGGCCCAATATCTCATTGTTGAGCTCCTTCCTGATACCACGGATCTTTCCATAGCCTGTGGACACTATGGGGTATTTCAGGTCAACCCGTTGACATGAGGAAAGGGTGAGGTGAAGCACCAGTCCCAAGAGCCACAGCAGGCAGTGATTGGCGACCCGCTGAGAACTAAAGTGACGCTTCCCACCATAGCCTTGGTGGCTGGCAGCATTGAGAGGAAAAAACAACATGTCCAAAATAAAGGCTCTTTTAGTCATATCAATAGGAGTTAAGTTGGGTGTAGAAAGGGATCACAAAATCAGTGGGTGATGGGAAATAAAGGCAAAAATAGGATATGTGGAAGGGGACAGGTCAACGGTTTTCCTAGGGTGACATGGTGAGGCGCGGGGACAGGTATCATTCTCAGGTAGACTCTGTGGTCTCCTCCGCCTTCCTCTTTGGAACTCCTGATGGGTCCAGAGCTGCAGTCAGGAAGCCAATTACACCTGGAAGACACAGACAGTAGGTTTGAGTCAGTGTGTGTGAGAATTGGTCTGCTCTTTAAGTCCCCTCAGTGTGTTTTAAAAGGCACAAGAGGACAATATAGCTAAGATGATTTAAATCAAGATGAAGTGTCTGTTAGCTCAAAGAAAGAGGGAATAATGACACTTGGCTGCAGATGAAGTACATTTATATTACCCTGAGACTAAAGTTTGCTATTCTGTCTACCACAAGATGGTGATTATATGCGTTAAGTCATGTGATTTAGTCATCTTAAAGATAATGATTTGACCTGAAAACATTGGTGTTAGTAAGAATCTAAGTACTGACTAAAGTTGTTTGACTAAAATGTAACACATCATGGCGGTATTACCCTTAAATGCATGACGCATCTACAAAGAAGCCAACTAAGTAATCTTTGTGCACAGAACCAAGAAAATGAAGCAAAAAAAGATAAACAATCACTAGTGTAGAGGAAATGATGTTTAAAAAAGGAGGTATACCAGAACTTATACCACTATATTGCATTTTCTGTGTTTAAATTAGTACAATTACATTTACTACCCATTGGTGTCTTTCCAGAGTACTCATATGTGGCCACTGTTAATGCACCAGTTTTTATGCTATGCAACTTGAGCATTGATTCTTAACCTACAGCTACCAAAGAGAGTCATGTACATCCAGTTCTTGTTTGTTCTCGATACATAAATGGTGCTTTCTGCCATCTGATTTTATTATCAATCTTCACACAGTTTTTGTAGGCTGCATTTTATCACCACTTTACCTGATAGTTGTAGCTTGCTGTTGGCCAATTGGGTCACTCTCAATTACCTAAAGGCTCTTTCTAGGATCAGTGTCTCGAGTGCATTCCACAACTGTGTCTCAAAATCAACTTCTGTCAAATTTCAAATCCTCGCTAAATATGCGAATAACCGTTTACCTCAAATCTAAAGAAGTGGCTTCTATAACGCCTCCCAAAAATATGTGCAAATGTGCAGATGAACTCAGATTTGTAAGTTTGAACATGAACATGCCAACAGCAGTATGGTAGGTTTGGCAATAAAGTCATTAGTAGTTCATTGATTTCATTTAAATGTTCCTTAAAGGGAACATTACCACCTTTTATGTGGATATCCAAGCAGTGTTTATGGTAAATGTAGTCGATTATGACAATCCTTCTTTATTGATGGAGAAAGCCGAGTTTTCAGATTTAACATCTGTTGTTCTTGCATCCAGCGCCGTCATTTGACCTGACAGTGACACAGTTGGATGCAAGAAAGAGCTATTCATGTTCTCCACCCTGGCCTTGGTAGCCAGGGTAACTCTAGATGCGTTCAAGGACATGACTTCTTTGTTCCCTTTGCTTGTATTGTAAACTAGCTACATTTCAATAAATCACAATTAAAATGGCATCTTAAAATATAATTGAAGAAAATCTTGGACAAGGATATATTCTACAGTGTTCTGTCTGACTTGGGTATTTGACGGTATTGCACTATGCATCCTGCTAGACTACATATATCAAATAATGCACACACTGACGAATGTATTGCTTGAATTTACTATATTTACTATTAAAAATGATTGGACATTTACATGAAAATCGGTTTTCTTTCATGCTACCTGAAATATTGGAAATATCTATCGCCAACTAAGAAGTGAACTTTAGAATGTGTCCAACTAGGAATAACTCAAAGTTGTAGGCTTTGAAATTATTACTTGAAATCATGAGCTTACAATAAGCACGTGAAAACAGGTTTTAGTTTTTAAGAATATTTGGTCTGTTTGCAGAAATTACATTTTTAGTCCAAGGGAAACGTGATGCAATGTGAGCCCCGATTCACTTTTCATCTTGCAGATAATCACAGTCCTTTCAAGTGCAAAACACTCATCTTGTAATGAACTTGAATTCCCAGAAAACACAATATACACAAACACATCTTTTGAGAAATGAATAAGGCAAACCTCATTTGCCCTGCAACCTTTTCCACCATCCCCACTCTGCCAGAGTTAGCCTTTCCCTCTCAACTCACTTCAGTTGGTTCTTGCTTCCACATTACAGATGAATGGGCAGTGCTTATCTCACTCTGGCTTTGGGAGACGGTGGCGTTTAGGTGTGATAAAGGCTTTATGTGATGCTCACTGTTGGTTGAATGCCACCTCGTCCCCCCCACCCTCAACTCTGCAATATCCACACTACACTGCCAGCCAGCGGACACAAGGGATGACATACAAAAATACAGCTGAACGATGGCGTGCAACATTACAGGACGTTCAAAGTTAGTGATGTGAGTGCTACTTTGCTTCATGAGGACAAAGCAGGAACAAGTTGTCTGGAAAATATTCGCTTCATTAAAGCCGTCCGAGTGAGTCCATCTTGTGATGAGTCCATACATGTTTAGGAGGGGGCAACATGTGTAAGGACAACCTGAATTCTCATCAAGAAAGTTAGCGTGCGTATATAGTCGAGCTGAAAATCCATCTTGGATAATGTGAGTCGCTACACGTTGTAGTTACCGACTCATTGTGAGGGGGTAAGATGGCATGGTTTAAAAAATGCTTCTGACTTATTTGGAAGAAGAGGAAGAAAAAGAGGAGGAGGGTTACTTTTTGCTTTACCTTCATTTACCAAGCCCAAGTACATTTAAAGTTCCACTTGGGAATTAGGGCGAAATGCTTTCTGGCTGAGAGTTGGATGATAAGGTTAGAAATGAAAGGGGCCCTATTATGCTAATTTACAGGTTCATATTAGTGCTTAGTGCCTTTACTGTGACATGTTTACATTAATGTTCAAAAGGTATTTTGAGAGTGAGGGAGAGAACTGAGGCATTTTAGCCTTTGCAAACCATTTACATGCACAAAAACATATATAACACACTACAGTGATGGTAAATGGACCCCAAAAAACAAAAATAGGGCCTCTTTAAGCTACAATAAAGGTTAGCTTAGCATAATAAATGGAAACAGGTAAACAGCTAGCCTGGCTCCGTTAGAAGATGTGCGAACCAGCACCACTAATACTACAAGTTGGGGGGTAATGTGTAGTGCTTAAACTAATATTTGTATTATTCATTATTCTGCAGATATTTTCTATATTAATTGATTGACCCTGTTTTACACAATTGTTTTATATTTAACAAACATTTGCAAGAGTGATATTGACCAGCTACAAATTCACATAATAGTGAGAGAACTGTATGAAGGTATGTTCAAGAGCAAAACAAAGACACAGAATGAAGTACAGTAGAACACACAATTACACATACATCAAAAACAATATACATGCAGCCTCTAGTTTCAAATAGAGTGAACTTAAACAGAGCTGCAGTCTATGCTAATTGCTCACATTTGCAACAGATACATATCCTTTTTGATTTTAAAAGAGCTATTTTTGCTTGTATTTTGTTGGTTAATGGGAGAGAACATAGCAGAAGCCCATGGTAAGACCCCCTGTAGTGTAGGGATACACACAGTAGTATGTCTTTACTGAGTCAGATAGCATAGGTGAGGGTAAAGTCTCTGTAAGACTGTTCTCCATTAAGCTTGCCTTTAAAAATGCACTAGCAACAATGTACACACAAGCGTAAAATCTGATGAGGCATTCAATGTTGCATGTGAGTACAGAAGCACACATTGGTCTGTTCTCAACCTCTCACATGTGACTCGCAAATGTTAGTGCCCGAACATCCCTAACATCTGTTCATGTCAACCATCCGTAAGCTGAAACAGAGTGTGCATCTTCGCGGATAGAAAAGGGTAAATTGACACACAAATCACCTGGCAGTTTAAAGCTGTTATATAATAGGTAGTCCTGTCAGCTGAAGCTGTTTGAGAAGGTAAAGTCTCTGCCAGTGGGACACTTTTATGGGTATGTTTAAAAATTGAATGGTCAGAGTGGTTTGTGAAAACTTTCAAAGAATTGCAGTGTTGGAGAAAAAGCCCGCCTTGGGATTTTATATTGCCTTGTTTCCACTTTGAGTGTGAGAAAGAGATGCATTACATGAGCTGTCAAGCTGCTCTCCTCTGCTAGTCAACATCTGTATTTTATTTTTACTAACCCTTAAAACACAGCCTTTAACACACAATGAACGCAAAAATGATAATCCTACCCCTGCCTTCAATGGGAAAACCACCAGAAGAAGATGGATAACATAAGTTAGGAAAAGGAGCTTCTTTATTGATTTCTTTGCTACTTTAAGGAATAAGGTATAGTATACAACATATTAAGTTATGACTTTACTGTACCGATTGCAATCGTACATCTAATGTGTTAAAGAGTCAATTCGATTTCTGTTAAAAATATGTTAAAAGGCTTTTTTGCTACCTTGATTCTTCAATGGACCGGGCAAATGATTGAGAGGTTTTGTTGAATAAGTGAGAGACCAAAAGAAGAAGTAGAGCCAAGATTTTTCTTGTCAGGCTTCATATGTAGGCTCAGCCACAGGGCTTCATCCTCTTTTACACTATACATTGAAGTGCCCAGAGTCTGCCCCAATGTACAGACTGCCAGGCTGAACCGGGTGATCCTGAGCGTTACCTCCAGGCCTTGTTCTGCATTCTGTTGTACTACTACAGGAAACTGTCCTGTGCATTTTCTTCAAGCAAGTACATTTTGTTTTAGGCTTCTTTTCCCCGAGCCACATTTAGCATCCCATTTAATAAAACAGTGGACGTGAATGACGGATTCACCTTGCTAACCAAGCTGGCTAGCTTTAGTTGGTTCCTTAGTGTTTAGTTATGCAAACGGTTCATATATGGATGTATAAAGAGAACTGGAAACAGCGTTTGATGCGGGTCCCCGTTCAATTTCTATGAGAGTTACTCGGTGGCGCATAAAGGCAAGATGGCCTGACTCCAGAGAAAAAGTAATACCGGGGTCATCCCTGGATCTTCTGGCAGTCTTTCACATCCATTGGCCCATAGTGCATGCACACTTTAACTTGCCTTAAACCCCACCTCCAATCCGCTGCCTCACGACTGGTCTCGGATCACTCAAATTAATGTA